TTGAGATCCGATACAGATCTCTCTGCATCAGATCCTGGCAAGGATAGATCTCCAGGATACACACGTGGATGTCTGCCTGCTGTCTGGAGTCTGGACGATCGACGATGGAACATGTCGGCTGTGGCGTGCATGCATGCTCATCTGTCACCGTACCGTCGTCTTTGAATGAACTGCATGCTGCAGCTGCGTCAACAAACACCAATTGAATCATGCATCAGTGCAGTTCGTGTTAGAGATAGTCTCATAGGAGCGTATATGTACACTGTACGGTGTGCCATGCTTCAGCGAAAGTTCAATTTCGATCCTGAGTCAACAGGCAGGCACTATCTTCTGAGTTTTGACAGATGAATGCATGAAATCGGGTTTTGACAGGTCGCGGTCGCGGATCCGATTTGTTCCTAGCAGAGCGAGCAAACTGGCACTCGCACTATCTATTGCTCGCAGTCGTTATCGGAGAAGACGTGACCTAGCAGAACGAGCTATTAGCTAGCTCTTAACACATGTCAGGAGGATTCAGATGGTTACAGGTGAATAATCTTGGACGGAAACGGATCGGCCAGATCGCGGCTGGACAGTGACACTGAACCCCAGCTTGTAATATATCCCAGAATTTGGCACTATGCAAAAAGAAGATTCTCCATCACATCAAACTTGTGGTACATGCATGGAGTACTAAATGTTGACGAAATCAAAAACTAATTACACAGTTTAGTTGTACTTTGCGAGACGAACGTTTTAAACCTAATTAGTCAACGATTGGACAATTATTACCAAATAAAACAAAACGTGTTTCAGGCGGCGCCAACTCGGCGCAACTAAACGTGGCCCTAGCTAACCAATGCTTCAGTATGTACGTGTCTGGTCTTCTAGAAAACCGGCGGCCGGTGTCGAGACTTAAAAGCGACTTTAATTTGTGAGCTGCTGCGTTGTGATTCTTCCGTTTGTTAGCTTCAACTTATTAGCCGTACCGTTTCAGCGAAATAATAATATTTTCTCTCACAATAAATCACCATCAGCATCAGTATCAACCGTTTTTTCAGACAGCCACACAGAGCCGAAATCCAATCACTAGCTAGGCTTTACCGTAGTACGTACAGGCGGAGAGATGCTGTCATGCACGGATAGCTTACACTACGTACAGGCGGAGAGATGCTGTCATGCACGGATAGCTTACACTACTACAGGATGACCATGTTGTCCCGGACGATAACAGCCTTTAGTTCCGGTTACCGCGCCGGAACAATGATCCCGGGACTAAAGATGGAACCTTCAGTCCCGGATCATCGAGCCTGTTATGAACGACGTATAGGAATATGAAGTAAAGAATCAAGCCACAGATGAGACACACGATTTAACGTGGAAAACCCCTCCAATGTAAAGGGGAAAAACCACGGGCACCAGCCAGTAACAATCTCACTATCTCAAGAGTTTTGGGTTACACGTCTATGGCGGCTTACAAGAGAATCAAGTCTCCACGAAACCCTAGCAAGTCTCCACGAAACAAGTCTCCGGCGACGGGCCTCCGCTCCGCTCTGTCAGAAGCTTGGCCTATATCCTGGAGTGAATTTGGAACAACTCCAACAAACTCCACCTTGAGACAAATTCATCTTGTATCATAAATCAACCCTTAATCCTGAACATAACAAAGATAGAAAACCACTTGTGCCAACAATAGTCTCTTGGACTATCCAATTAAACCAACTAAGCTTGAGCACAGCTCAAACTTAGCAACAGGAACAAGCTTTGTCATCATATCAACAGGATTATCATAAATACTAATCTTGCATACCTTCAGCTTACCTTCTTCAATCACATCACGCACAAAATGATACTTGATATCTATGTGCTTAGTTCTCTCATGGAACATCTGATGTTTAGTGAGGTAAATTGCACTTTGATTGTCACAGTGCAAACTTATGCAAGATTCAACTCCACAAAGCTCAGCATACAAACCTTTTAGCCAAATTAATTCTTTGCACGCTTCACAAATAGCCATATATTACTTCAAAGAGTAGACAAAGCAACAATCGATCGTAAAGTAGCCCTCCAACTTACAAAGACAACCGCCAACAAGAAACACATAACTCAGTAAGTGATCTTCGCTTTGTCCGGATCAAGAACATAATCATAATCCACATAGCCAATAAGACCCTTATCAGTTCTTCCAAACTTTAAACAGAATCTCATCAGTGCCTCCGAGGTACCGAAAATCCACTAAACCGCCTCCAATGTTCTTTTTCGAGGATTAGACATATATCTACTAACAAGACTCATAGCATATAACAAATGGGGCGAGAGCAAACCATGACATACATCAAAGATCCAACAAAGACTAGAATAAGGAACCCTTGACATGTATTCAATCTCTCAGCATCTGTACTAGAACACTTTGAACAAATTGACAAATTAAAGTGAGGTGCAATAGGGTACTAACTGACCTTAACATTTTGCATGTTGAAACGTCAAGAACTTTCTTAATATAATTTTGTTGACTAAGAAATAGCAAACCAGATTTTCTATCTCTACTAATTTCCATACCAAGAATTTTCTTAGCACTACCAAGATCTTTCATATCAAAACCACTACTCAATAGCTTCTTTAACTTAGTGATTTCAATCTTACTCTTGGCAACAAATCAAAGATATCATCAACATATAACAAAGAAATATATAGGTGATCCATTAACATGCTTGATGTAAACACACGCTATCATACTTAGATCTTTTAAAACTGTGTGCTAACATAAATGAATCAAACCTCTTGTTCCAATCGACGAGGGACTGTTTCAAACCATACAAGGATCTCTTCAACTTGCACACATATTTTTCCTTGCTGTGCACTATGAACCCTTCTCGTTGGTCCATGTATATGTCCTCCTCAAGCTCTCCATGCAAAAACGCAGTCTTCACATCTAACCGCTCAAGCTCAAGATCATGTGAAGCAACAATACTTAGGAAAGTACGAATTGAACTGTGTTTTACCACTGGAGAGAACACATCATTGTAGTCAACTCCCGGAATTTGACTATAGCCTTTAGCAACTAACCTTGCCTTATACTTTGGAGGCTCGCTTGGAGATAAACCCTCCTTTCTCTTGAAGATCCATTTGCAGCTGATGGTCTTCTTATTCTTAGGTAAAGGTACAATCTCCCATGTATCGTTCTTCTCAAGAGATCGCATCTCCTCATGCATAGCAAAATCCAATTCTCGATTCACCACAACGGATAGCTTCTTTATAGGTTGTTTGGCTCATGAACATTCTCCACTGTTCAAAGACAACTCAAAGCATAGTAAGACAAATTACACTCTTCAATAAGACGCTTAGGAGGTGCAATTGTCCTTTTGACTTATGTTGAGCAATAGGTAAATCCTCCTCTAATCGCAAAATAGGAGGAGTTTGTTGAACATCATCATGAGCATCATCCTCAAAGAACATCATTATCATGGTCACCATGCTCATCAACAGCTCCACTCACACACCTTTTGTATCATCATCAACATGCTCCACTCAGCATGCGCATCGCCGCAGCTTTTTTTTTCTCGGAACATGATCCGAGGGCAAACGCCAAGAAACATCACAGATTCATTGAAAACAACACTCCTGCTCATAAAAGTCTTTTTCTGCTTTGAGATTCCACAATTTATAGCCTTTGACTCCCGAACTATAACCAAAGAAAAGACACTTAACAACTCTAGGCTCTAATTTTCCATTATCAACATGAGCATAAGCGGTGCATCCAAAAATTTTCAACTGTGAATAATCGTGAGCGTGCACGCACCAATACCTCAATGGGAGTTCTTTTATTTAGTGGAATAGAAGGCGACCTATTTATCAAGTAACGAGCATATTAGCGACTTCAAATTAAAAAATGCTTTCTCATCCTGGCATTAGACAAAGATGCAACGGGCCTTGGACATGATGGTTCTGTTTCATGCGTTCGCCACACCATTCTGCTGTGGAGTATGGGGTATGGTGTGATGCCTAACAATGCCTTCCGATCTGCAATAATCATTAAATTCACGCGAACAAAATTCTCCACCATTATCGATGCGAAGCAATTTTACCTTCCTTTCGGTTTTGCCTTTCTATCATTACTTTCCAGGTCCTTAAAAGCAAAGAAAAGTATCATCTTTACTGTTTCGAAAAATAAGGCCAAACCCTTCTAGAGTAATCATCAATAATTGTAAGCATGCAACGAGCACCACCAAGTGAGGACTTACGGGAAGGGCCCCATAAATCAGCATGAACATAATCAAGAGTACCTTTAGTGGTGTGAACAGAAGTGTTGAAATGTACCCTTTTATGCTTCCCGAAAATACAATGCTCACAAAACTTTATTTTACTCGAAGTGCAGCCATCCAACAGGTTTCTCTTCATCAATTCTGCCATACCATGGTGACTCATATGTCCCAAACGCATATGCCAAAGGTTAGTTTTACTAGGTTCATCATTAGTAACAACAGCAACAGCGGAATCAGAACCAGGTAAAGTACACCCTCTAAGGACATATAACTTTGCAGAATTAAGATCACCTTTCAAGCAAACAAGAGAACCTTTTGATACCTTCAGAACGCCATCTGAACTGGAATATTTGTAACCTTCTGCATCAAGCGTGCTCAATGAGATAAGATTTCTGGACATCCCCGGTATATACCGACGCTTTTTCAATTATGCGTGTCATGCCATCATCAGTCTTGATCTAAACTGATCCAATCCCCCACAATGTCACACGGGTTATCATCTCCCATCCGCACAACATCCCTTTACGCTTTCAGGCTTATACGAGCTAAACCAATTTCTGTTAGTGCAAATATGAAATGAACATGCGGAATCAAGAATCCATTCATCATGACCAAAAACACAACCAAAAATACTACCGACAATCTCTAGAATCATCATCGAGGCGCAGCAGAAGCAAAGAATGAGACCTTACCAAATTAACTTGTTTTTCCTCTTCTCCTTATTCTCAGATTTTTCGCAATCCTCAACATTATGATTTGTCACTTGCAATAAACATAGAACTTTTTATTACCATGCGGCTTGGACTTTGAACGGCCTCTCCTTTCGTAGTTCTTCTTTCTTCCATCATTGCCATCATTGGAGGATCTGCTTTTCGATTCGCCTCTCACATGCAAAGCATCGCCCTTGGAGGACGACGTCCCGTCATTCTCACCATGCCTCTCATCTTCTCCCTAGATCGGAGCCTCATAAACTTCCTTTAGGGTTAGTTCATCACGGCTCAAAAGTATGGTGTCACGAAAAATTTGCATACTGAATTTGGCAAAGAACATAGCAGTAAAAGACCTAAGTCCTCATCATCATACTTCACCTCCATCGACACTAGGTCGGCGACGATCTTCTTGAATTCAGCGATGTGGCTCATCACTGAATCCTCCTCCTTCATCTTCAGGGTGAACAGCTTCATCGTCATCTGCATCTTACTGGTTAGATCCTTGGACATACAGATCGATTCCAGTTTCAGCCATAGTTCTGCAGCAGTTTTCTCTTTCAGACACTCTTGCAAAATATAATTATGAAGATGCAACTGAATTAGGGCAAGAGCCTTCTGATCCTTGCGGATCTCTTCTGGAGTCCACTCGGCCTTCCTCTTTCCGAAACTATCCAAATACCTCATCATAGTCATGAGTCCGCGCGAAATCCCATCTTGACTTGCCATAGCGAGAACCGAGTGTCGTAGTTCAGCAGCGGAAGATCGAACTTCATCGACGTCGTCATGAACCCTAACAGCAACCAAAGCTCTGGTACCACTTGTTATGAACGACGTATAGAAATATGAAGTAAAGAATCACCACAGAGGAAACACACGATTTAACGTGGAAAACCCGTCCAATGTGAAGGGGAAAAACCACGGGCACCAGCTAGCAACAATCTCACTATCTCAAGAGTTTTGGGTTACACGCCTATGGCGGCTTACAAGAGAATCAAGTCTCCACGAAACCCTAGCAAGTCTCCGGCGACGGGCCTCCGCTCCGCTCCGTCAGAAGCCCGGCCTATATCCTAGAGTGAATTTGGAACAACTCCAACAGAGCCGGGACTAAAGAGGGACCTTTAGTCCTGGTTAACACCAACCGGGACTAAAGGTCCTCCAGCCGAGCAAACGTGGCCGCACCCTTTAGTCCCGGTTGGTAACGGTTCCTTTTCCTTTTCTTTTTTTTATTTAATTTGTTTTCAGTTCAGTTACACATATTTGTTTAATATATAAATATGTTTTTATGTAAGTATTCTACGCTACTAATATAAATACACGCACGCATATATATAATTACATCTAATTCTCATCTCGAGCATTATTATATTCGAATAAAGTATGAAACTATATATATTATAGATATATATGTATATATACAACACTTTCATAATCTTGTTCTCGAAAATAACGATATCAATAAACATTTAATTTATATCATTTATTCCTTAGGATCAAAGTAGAACTCGTCATTGGGATTTAGCACTTTTTCTAGAAGAAATCCTGCTATTGACTCTTGAACTGCTTTCAGATGGTCTTTTTGCATGACCCTTTGTTTCAACCATTCAGTCTTGCATTTGAAATAAAAGGAAAAGTATTAATACATATATATATATATATATATTCATTTAAAAATAAATAAAAAATTAATATATACGTACTCTGAGGACATCTTTAGGAGTTCTTCTTATGTGCGCAGTGATAAATTCACAAACGTAGTATCCACACAAGTTATTACCTGGTTGCTGCCGCAAACACCACTGTACGAGAAGAAGATTATTCTCATCATCTTACACGTAAATTGAAGTACGATATAGTAATTAAACATGGGGGGAAGTATATATAGTACAACTTACTGGTATTTCAACTACATTAAGTGGTGCCTTACAATCCTTAAGGTGTTGCTTAATAAACTCTTTTCAAACCCTCGTATGCACCAATAATGTACGATCGTTAATAAATTATGGCAAAGTCTATTCAATAATAGTTGTGCGCGAGAGATCGAAATTACCCCTGGATAATGTCTATCATATCTTGGTATAGTGCCCGCTCTTTTCTCAATGAGTCCAAGATTACTAACCGACTTGAGTTTAACTCAATGACAATGAGTATCCAGTGAAACCTGCATTGGTTTATACACGCACATACATGCATATAAGTTGTATTGATATTACATAAAATGTGTAGACTACATTATTATTAACACTTACTCAAAGCTGTACGAGAAAAGTATTGTTGTCTTATCGTGCTGCTTCACGAAGAACCTCATGATATTCTTCTGTGCTTCAGATACCCAATGCTCCTTGACAATAATATCGGTTTTGAATACGATATAAGGATCAATGAAGCCAACACTGATGTCTTGTATTCTTTGGAGCTCTGACATCTGGAATCTATATATAAATATAAGTTACATGTGAGGATAATTATATATACACGTACGCATGGAAGTGAGTTTATTAAATAAAAGTAAGAATCACTTACAAACAAAAAGGAGCTAATGATTGATTTGTCCAGAGCGTCCATATGGTATAGTTGATGCAATTCTTTGAAACTAATATGTAAGATGTCATCGCCACAGAAGTAATGATGGTCTCTAAATCTGACAAAGATCCACTCCTCACCCCTGCCACACGCCTGCATGTACCACTTGTTGAGCAAGTACATTTGCGTACCCAATTCATTCAGAGCCGCAGGGTTGTACAGACTTTTGCCAAATTTATAAGTCTTCCAGGTATCAACTTCTAGGTTCTAGATTAGAGCTTTGCCCGTCAATTGATCCAAGGTTAAACCAGTATCTTCAAAAAAAGCATTAAGGTTTTGAACCTACACTTCTCCAGAGTTGTCTGGTCGATAGACTTCTATGTTGGAACCATATTCATTAGCAATAACAAGATTTTGCATTGGTTGCTTCTATTGTCCGAGCTGTGGGACATCCTTCCTTGATGCTCTTTTCCTTTTCTTATCTGCATCATGTGACTTCACGAGGGAGCGATCATAGTCTGATAGTGGCGGAGGCTTACGAAGTCCAAGCATCTTTTTCTTGTGATCTTCGACCTTCTGCCTCAGCAGATCTCATGGTATGTAAAAGTACGGCTTCTCCTTAAGCTTCGCTTGTCTCTGCTTTTTTATATCTATAAAAAAATATTTCACTTTTTTGTCTTCTTTAGCTGCTATTTGCTCATCAGTCTTTTCAGGAAGTATTTCTTGAGAAATAACTCTTTTTTTTCGGGGTCTTCTTTGCCGTTGGGACCTTAGACGTCTCTGTAGTGCGTCGCTGTGGAGGGGGTGGGGGCGGTGTTGGAGACCGGCGTGGAGGCGATGAGGCCGGTGTTGGAGACCGGCGTGGAGGCGTTGGAGATCGTTGTGGAGGCGGTGGGGCCGGTGTAGGAGTTGGAGATTGTTGTGGAGGCGATGGGGCCGGTGTAGGAGTTGAAGATCGCCGTGGGGATGAAGTCGTCTCGCCCCGTGACGCTGTGATGAGATGGGGAATGAATGATTGGGCTAGGCTGGGGGAGACCCTGCTACAAAAATAAGTTGTGAGTCAATTATTTTTGAAGCCAATAGAAAATTAATGGAAAATAATATTTCATTCACTTTCATTCGTACCTAGGGTGAGGTAGGGGAAGCGGTGGCGCCCCAGGAATGATGATGAAGCGTTTGCGCCATTGAATAAATGTCTTCTCTGCTTCTTCTAGTGTCTTCTCCCCATCACCGCCTTCAATGTCAAGAGGAACATTGTTGTAACCTTTGAGCACTCTATCGACCGAGACGCTAGCATATCCAGGTTGAATAACTAACCCATGGATTATTGGTGTCTTCGTTCGGTCTATTGGAGATACAACCCCGACAGCCACCATGATTGATGCATTATTACCATCTAGAATGTGCAGCTCACATGTTGTTAGAGGCTCGGTAATGTCATCAACAGGGAAGCGCAACCCAGTGTCATCTTGAATAACTGGCAGCTCCGTGGAAGCACAACTGCTTTTTATCTGACCAATGGGGCTAATGGTGACTCCTGGCGTTGATTGCGATTGCATTTCACTCATTGCTAGCTGCACTTGCCTCTTGATCTCCTCTTGCATTCTTGCCTCAAGAGAATTTTCTCGTTCACGTGATTCAAGCAATGCTTGTCGTGACTCATTAACAAATTGCTCCAATACACGGATTTGGTCTGCCTCCTTATCCTTCTTTCTCTGGTGGCTTCTGTAGGTATCCTTGTCTGCTGGGAATGCTTGTAGCCACGGAACCGCCCCATAGCCTCTTGTTCGACCACCGTGTTCGGGATTCTCTAGAGCATATGTCAATTCATCCTTCTCTCTGTTGGGCTTGAAAACACCACTATCAGCTTCTTCCTTAGCACGAGCTAGTCTCTGTGTTGCTCTCTCAATTTTTTGGTTGAAAATTAGCTTACCAGTGTCTGGGTCTAGGCTTCCCCCATGAGGGTAGAACCAATTCTTCGCGCGTTGAGGCCAGTTCTTCTCTATTATTTCAGGTATGATTCCCTTGGCAGTAATCTCTGTTTCTAGGTTCTGCCACTTGGGAATAGCACTCCTATAACCATCTGATCCCATGCGATGATGGTATTGCTTCTGACGGGCATTCTGCTGATTCCTCATCACACGTTCCTCACTCTCTTGAGATGTCTTGTATTCTACGAAGTCATCCTAATGGGACTCCAACTTGACAAACGCCTTAGCATTGAAATCCGGCGTATCATTCTTCAAGATAAACTTTTTATACAATGTCTTCTTCCAACTCTGGAACAATGTTGCCATCTTCTTCATTGTCTAATCCCTCACTAGCTCCTTCAAAGCATCATCTATTTGTAATGTGAAATGCTGAGTGATATCTCTCCAAGCTAGGTTCTTGTCACGATCAGATACAAAACTAACATTAGGAGCGAATATCTTCTACTTCCATTCACAAGCACTAACTGGGATCCTATCCCTTACAATGACCCCACATTGATTGACATATGTCTGAGCATATGGTCCCAATGGTTTGACGATGTCGGTGTCGAATTCTGATATTATGAAACGGTCCACTAATGGCTTTTTTGGCCCTCGGACTTTCCTACTCTTGCCGGTGGTTGATGTAGATCCAGAGACCAGCTACATGAGTAGAAACACAACGATTAACAACAAATATACGTACGCATGCATCTATAAGAGATGATAGATAATCGAATATACCTCACCAATATTTTTTGCACGACAATTTGTTGATCTTCAACCACCGGGATATTCAGTATATCCTCATAATTAGCAAAGTACCGACTCATGTCATCTACATCCGCATTGGTGCCGACGTTAATAATATCCGCCATTATGTCATCATTCAAGTTATCATCCTGAGCAGCCATTTGTATCTTCAAGATAACACAGATAGAATTACTATGGCACATAACATAAGTACATGTGATAACACATATAGAATTACTAAGTCCAATTAAATATAATAACACATAATATTTCATAAGGATAAACAATAATAAGGTATAGGCTTTGGAATCGAATCAAAAACACTTTCGATCCAAAAACATGGAAATAAGTACATATATATATAGAATGATACAATTTTCTCTCTCTCTCAACACATAGAAATAAGTGCATATGTATATATCTCTAGATATGCATGTGATAACACATAGAATGTCTCTCTAGATACAATTTTCTCTCTCTCTC